AAGTACAGGACATCCCCTAAGCCTTCCCACAATGCAATGCTTGGGGACCTGTGTGGTCAATCATCAGGCCCCAGCACCTTCAGTAGGTTATGGTGAGTGGTGACCCTTGAAAAGAAACTAAACGAGGTGGAAGGGAACGTTTTATCTTTAAATTTACTATCAGGTTTGTGTAAATCTATGAAGTGATGACCCAACAAACCCCAACCCCATGCCTTATTTTACAGTAGGCATTCCTTAAGCTCTCACTACTGGTCCTTGAGACCAATTCTACAAAATAGCTGCCTGCCACGGCAAAATGACTAATGCACTTTAAGGTGACTTCTTGAAACCCGATATGCTAATGGTCTACTTTGGGGTACAAAAAAGTGTTTTTCTCTCTGAATTTACAATAAAAATACATATTAAGCTTTACTGTTCATGAAAAAATACAATTTTTGAAAGTACAACCCTAAAGGTAAGAGTAAATCAACTCTGTCTGAACAAAGCGGATACTCTACTCATATATAGAGTATCAAATTACCGATGTCATATATAACCTGCGTAACAAGTTGTCTACTCGCAATATGGCTCCCTATTAGATAATTTAATGAAGAATATAGATGCTTTATTCTTCTGAAGGCATTGTTCTATAAGGAGACAGAGAGAGAGAAGGCTCTGGTTATATCCACAAATAATGACCTTCCCGGTTGCCAGGCAACACCACAAATGCTCATCACACAAGCTTTAATATAAGTCCAATGGGAAAAGAAAAGGAAGACATGATTTTTGGAGGGGGATTGATGTTTAACTTAAAATATAAATTCCTTTACAGAAGTAGGTGCATCATTCTAGGTATATAGAGGCCCTGTGAGCTTTAAGGTGTCAAGGTAGCCCCTTTTATAAGCCTAAAGAAGAATATGTATTAATTGATAATACATATTATCAGATCCCGTGAATACAGAATTTTGTGAGGTGCAGAATCTCACTCTTGAACAACTAGTAATCTAATGAAATCAGGGGAGAAGGTTTCAATTTAAACCTGAGGTAAATAGGGGGAGGCGTCATTGTTGTATCAAACTGGGTTACTAAGGATCTATCAAGCATTTAGCCAACTCCAAAAAACATTCACCAGATAGAAAAGCCTTCATATGACCCAGTGGGTCTTCAACCTTTAAAACCACCTAATCATTTCCTTTTCTCCAAAGACCTCAGCAAGCTGGGTATGTTAGATACACCAAGCTGGATATAACATTATGCCCTTAACACACAAAAGCATAATATTGTTACAGAAAGTGTCTGCTACCGTCCAAAAACACTGTGGAGTCCTGTTTTCTCTTCACAACTGAGCAAATAAAACAAAAATGAAACACATGATCCATTGTTCACTTTGCCTATATGAATGAATTTTATGTTTGACCCAGACTAAATTGATAATCTAAGAACTAAGGGCCTCGGTGAGACAGTTTAAGGACTTTAATTACCTATACAGCAAAAAGATGGCTTTGAGCTCTCTGCACGCCTTTATTTCTGTACAATCCACAAGTACCATCATAAACTGAAAGCCTAGAATAAATCCGATTTCAATTATGACCCTACCTCAAGGCTTATTTCATGTGCATGCCAAGGGTCAAAGACTTTGTCAATCTCAATATTAAGCTTCTGAAGATTATCTAAGTGCTTTTCATTCAAAGGCCCCCAAACCACAAAGCTGCTATGGCAGCTGCCCTGCCATATTATGGGTTAGGTGGGCCAACTTGTCCCTAGGATTAAGTGTTCTTCCCTCCCCACCTCACTCTCTTCTGCAAGAGGGTAAAACCCATACAACATTATCATGCACCAATATCCTACAACTACTCTTCCCACTTCCCTCAGCCATTTCTAGCCCTCCATCTTTCTCCCCCAGTCATCATCAACTTTTTTAACTTCCTGACCCCACACACGTTGTCACTCCATTAGAGAGTGATGTATTATACAATGTCTATACCAGTAAATGTGCAAAAGAGTTTAAGGGGTGGTTCCTCCTCCATGTGATTTTCACACACTTGCTGGTTTGCATCCAACTGAGGATTTCAATTAAAGTGGAACTAAACTGGAAGTTAATATTTGCCATCTTTTAGACAGCATCTGGAAATGTTAATTTAGGCTAAGCTCCCAATTCCCAGACATCCTGCATGTCTGGGCAGCCAAACACTAAGCCCCAGCACTGTCACATGGGAAGAAGGGAAAGGAGTCACATGTGCCCCTATAACCTAAACTACTGGGTATTTTTATTTCTTCCTACTGGATGAATGGAGCAGCAAGAAGTGACGAAAGGATACGTGGTGCTGGTGAGACCACTGGTAAGGTCACTTGCTTTAAGAGCTGCTGATGGTCTCAATAACCTTACAGCCACTCAAATGTATTTTAGCCAGGTCAAGCCTCAAGTAGCAGTTAAGAGCAATCACTGTTAAGCACAATCACAGCACTACTGAGCAGGAAGTCCACAGTTTCCCTTTCTTTAAGAGAATTCATACTGGATAGAAGCAAAATAATGGAACATGAAAGCTTATGTGTCCTACTGGTCCAAAACACTGTGGGAACCCTTTTTCCACCCAAAACAACATCCAACCAAAAATTTGGATTTGTTCACCTTTATCTTACTCACTGGATTTTGTGCTTTGAGTGGAATTTTTTTTGTGTTTACACTAACGAAGGATCTCAATAAGGCAGTTTAGGAATTTTCCATATTTGGCAAACATTGGGCATCTTTGAACTATTTGTAGGCCTTCCCCTCTCGACAAACCACAAGCACCAGCATGCACCAAGGATTGCTAAACCCTGGAGTCAGGCATGATTTCAGATATGAACGCAGGGAAATATTATTGTATGCTTCAAGGGCCACAGATCTTCTGTCAATCTCAATTTATTAACATTATTAAAAGGGAATTTTAACAAGGGCAGTCTGCTTCTCCCTTAAAATCCTGGTAGCCTAGGCCCCAGCCATTCAGGGCCTGTCTAGCATACAGTAATTTATTCCAGCTCAGTCACTCCTACACTGTGCACGCAGGCAGTTGCTATGGTTAATACAAGACTCTCTGTGCAGTCAATGAAAATGTCATGGTTTGGTATGCCCCTTGGGGATGTGTGCTATACACCTTACCTAGACCACTGCCCTTGATATCTGTCAGTCTATACAAACTGTAGCCCCATTCAAATTAAACTCGGTTAATCCTAACAATTAAACAAAACCATAGTTAACTGGTGTCTATGAATTCACAATTAGTTTGACAACTTTAATTTGACAGAAGAAATCACATTTTTTATGTTTTTGTCTTTTTATTTTAAAGATTCCTTTACTGGGAAGAAAAAGATTTAGAAAAATATTCCAGACTAGAATCATTAATTAACATTTGCACTAAGCACTTGCAAACACTGGCTGTAAAGAAGCTTAAAAATAATACCAAAGGATTTATCTTGCTTGGCAAATCACAAATTAAACCCCCCCTCTTATTTATTTTTTTGGGTGACAGACTTTTAGAATGGACGTGAGGAACGTATTTCCTGCGAAAAAAGTTAAAACATTGATACGAAATACAAAAACTAAAATGCGATTAAACTATCACAGAACGAGGTTAGTTTTACTGCAAGAGCAATTCCTGAGCACTTGTCACCAACAGCCAAATTATTTTTGACGACGGTGCAGAAATCCAAGCATATAGTTTGACATTTTTGTGCTTGGGCTGTGAGCGCAAACGAGTACTCTCTCTGTGTGCATTAATGTAAAGTGACAATGGTAGAGGCCTGAGGGTCACGTGACTCTCCACAAATGCCTTGAGCCATCAGAATCATATCATTTATTGTAGTGGTTCAATGAAAATCACATTGTAAATTACTGCCTCTCCATGCAAGACCCTCATCATGGCTGGTAAATTATAAAAAAAAAAATAAATCATAAATACTAAATAAAACTAACAGTGTCAAAAATGGACAGCTTCATTTTTTACTGCCAAAATTCAGCCAGAAAACAAAAGTTAAAAAAAATGTTTTTTTTCCAATCCAGATTATTTTTAATTAAAGGGTACATGTGTGTCTTGCCAGCTAATTTAAATGCAGAGCAATATCTACCAGCTGCCTTTCCTGAAGCTCATATTCATGAAAAGATGAAAATTTGTTTATGCAAAAATAAATAAATAAATAAAACTGCTCCCTAATATTTGTACGTTGTGTTATTGTGCTTGTAAAATACTCTTGTAATCTTCTAAAATACTATTTTTCACTGTATGAATTCAACTAAAAAACGCAAAAATATTTCTAGTTATTGTAAGCCAAGAAAAAAAAAAAAAGATCACAGGAAATATAGACCATCAATTAGTTCCACCTAGTGAATTATTTATACATCCTTCTGAAATAACGCGCAAGCTATTTTTACAGAAACCACTTTTGTGAGCTCTTGAAAAGACTGACGATTGCAGCATCTCAGAGAAAAGGGAAAAAAAAAAAACATTTAATGATGTGTAGAGGGGGGTCCCAAACCTGCAGGTGCCTGCAGCGTAGGTTGTGAGTGACAAAGAATGCCCACCACTTGAATTTTTTTACTGATGGAACCTAGCGGCCATGAAAAAAAAAAAAGCATGGGTAACGGGGGGGGGGGGG